TCTATTTGAATATTTTGCAGCTGAGGTCAATGGTTCAGTGACCCCGTCCCCCTACAGCTCTCCAGCCTAAGCAATGAAGCGAGATCCCAACTCTAAAAAGAAAAAAAGGAAAAAATTGCAACGGGAAAGGGTTAATAAAAAGGCCTTGATGTGACCAGGTGCAGTGGCTCACACCTGTAATCCCAACACTTTGGGAAGCTGAAGTGGGCAGACTATCTGAGGTCAGGAGTTCAAGACCAGCCTGGCCAACAGGGGGAAACCCCGTCTCTATTAAAATACAAAAATTAGCCAGGTGTGGTGGTGGGTGCCTGTAATCCCAGCTACTTGGGAGGCTGAGGTAGGAGAATCACTTGAACCCAGGAGGTGGAGGTTGCCGTGAGCCAAGATCATACTGCTGCACTCCAGCCTGAGCGACAGAGTAAAACTCCATCTCAAAAAAACAAACAAACAAACAAACAAACAAACAAACAAAAAAACAGAAAAAAAGGCCTTGAGATAAATCCACTGTTTCCACCCTTATGACTTATCCTATCTTTATTATAAAGGTATTATATTATTCTTAACTTATTATAAACATTAAATTTTATTATTTTGCCTCTGTTAATTTATTTTTATCACTAATCTTCATGTTTGAGTCCCAACACCTGCTAGGCGACATGACATACTCCCCCATTTCCAGCATCTTCCAGGAAACTCACAGAGCCAAGGCTGGTGCCTTCACTGAGTCATGAAGAAATGAGGATGGTTGTATTATTTTCCCTCCTAAAATGTCTTAGATTTGCCCACACCTTGGCAATCTTACATGGTCAGGGGCTCAAGGTCATGAGCAGCACTAAGGACTGGGTTCACTGGCGTCTGGCTCCCCTCTCTGCCCTCCAGCCGAGTTTATTTCTGTGACTCTTAGAGCAGCCTCACCCCATGGTTTTCTGTTCCTCCAGGAAGATTATTTTAAAATGAGTGATGGTTCATCGCTAGTATAGAAAATAGTGCTCTCTCCTGCATGCTGGTGCTGTATCCAGGGCCCAGACTGACGCCCTCTGAGCAGAAGCATCTCTGTATCACCCCTGGACCCTGAACTGGGCATGGCCTGAACCAGCCTCTTTGGGCCTCCTCCGAAGTCTCCACTGGGAGATTTTTAGCTTTAAGCAAAACATTTCTGCCTGAATAAACATGAACAGAGTGAGAAGAAACGAGAAGTGAACTGATCTAAAGTTAAACTAAAGAAAATGATACCACATTGTCAGATCCATTTGGGAAAATCAGTTGCTATTTAAAGATCTGACAACCTAAGTCACCCCCTGAGCTGGACTTGGTCAGAACCACTAGTGGGGTGACTGCACCAGGCAAGGGGAGAAGAGAGTAGGTTAGCGCCTCACTTCCCCATGAGTCTGGGGCACTGTGTAAGCCTGCAAGCTGCTACAACAATAATAGTAAGCCTTGTCCTCAGGCTGCAGCCCAAGGATGTGCAGAATCCCTGCATTGGCTGAGGCATCTCTGGAGGCAGAGAAGCAGCTGGGACCCCAGAGTCCTGCTGCTTACTAGAGTTTGAGGAGTATCTCAGGAGAAACCTGGGAGGACTCCCTGGCCTCTGCTGGAAGCAGTACATTGCAGTCACTAACACTGAAGCCACTGCTCAGGGTGCAGGTGAGTGTGGCTGATGCTCCAGGCAATGCAGCGAGGGAGGGCGCTGAGTCAGTACAGGCTGGGAGAGAGAACTGCAGACGCAGACTCACATGGGGGCTGGGGCAGGGCCAGGGCCAGGGTGAAGTCCCTTGGGGGCCTGAGCCAGAGGGGCTGACAAGCTAAGGAGCTCACCCTGGACACCCAAATTCTGTCCTCACCTGTGCAATAATGGTGGAGCATGAAGAAGAGAGTTGTTCAGGTCACAGTGGACACGCTACTCTTGCCTGTAGTGAAGGCTGCTGGTTCAGGCCTCTTTTTATCTTCATTGCTCTGATAGAGGAGGAGCTGTTTATACAAGTGTGCTCTCCTCCTGGTGATCTCTGTTCCACCTGAGAAGACAGCTGCAGTCTGACGTTTATTTTTTAGACACAGGAGGCTGGTGGGTGAGATGCAGAGTTTGTCCCATGGGAGGGTCAGACAGGAAGCAGATACTAGAACCCTCTACAGACTCTGCCCCTCTCAGGGAAGACACAGTGCTGAGTCCTCATCAGCAATACAGGCACCAATGACCAGCCCTGGGGAGTTCGGAGGGTAGCACAGATGGCATTCTGGACCCTGAAAGAGGCACATGGGGCCCATCACTGCTGGCACAGAGCCTGACACAGGGAGGGCACAGCCGCCCCTGCATGGTGACAAGTGACTGGCATTTTCCATTTACCATAGATCCCTGTTTCTGACATCTAAGGGGACTGCGCTATCTCCTCCGCTAACACCCTCCGTCCTCCTTCTCAGAGGAAAACCTACACAAGCAAACAATGATAAAAATAATAACAAAGCGTTTACATCACCAATCCACTTGCTGTTGAATTTTTGTTTTGTTTTGTTTTTTGAGACAGGGTCTCACTCTGTTGCCCATGCTGTGGTGCAGTGGCAGGATCCCAGCTCACAGCAGGAAGCTTCGACCTTCCAGTCTTAAGCAATCCTCTAATCTCAGCCTCCTTAGTAGCTGAGACTACAGGCACAGGCCACCATGCCTGGCTAATTTTAATTATTTTTAATTAAATAATTTTAGTTAAATTTCAATTTAATTTAATAATTTTCACTAGAGATTAGGTCTCACTATGTTCCCCTGGGTGGTATTGAACTCCTGGGATCAAGAGATCCTACCACCTAGACCTCCCAAAGTAATTGGGATTACAGGTGTGAGCCACTGAATCTGGCCTGAATTTTTTTTATTTGATGTCTGCAGATAAGGAAATGTTTTACCAATTTTTTTTTAGAAGAATCTTGCTGTGTTGCCCATGCTGGAGTGCAGTGGCATAATCTCAGCTCGCTGCAAACTCTGCCTCCCAGGTTCAAGTGATTCTCCTGCCTCAGCCTCCCAAGTAGCTGGGATTACAGGCGCTAACCATCACACCCAGCTAATTTTTGTATTTTTAGTAGAGACGGGGTTTCACCAGGTTGGACAGGCTGGTCTCAAACTCCTGACCTCAGGTGATCTGCCCGCCTCAGCCTCCCAAAGTGCTGGGATTCACAGGCGTGAGCCACCGCACCTGGCCTGTTGTACCATTTGTTCATATTTTCTTTTATATCATTTACTAAATTTGCTAGTTATTTTCTAATAGATAAATTCAATGTTTATTTTTGTATACTGAGATCAAAAAATAAGGATTTTGAACTCTTCATAACATATTTTATTTCATTAGTTGCAAATTTGGCAATTTTAAAATTCATTCTAATAAATTTTTAGTACATGTATTTTATTCTTGATAGATATTCATAGCATTCAAAACTTTTAAAATAAATGAATTCCATATTTATAATATTTGTATCCATTTTTATTGCCTCTATTACTGAATTGGCAGAAATTCCAGGTTAAAATCTTGCACAGTAGCTGTATCTGTAGCCATCATGCAGGATCCCAGATTAAAATGCAAACAATCCTAGTAGTTTTCCTTTAGAAGTAATGATTTCCTCTAGTCTAAAAATACACAATCTGTAAGAAATCATAGAAGTATATTTTATTTCTTACTTTCTATTTTATTTTCATTAAGGCAAGAGAGATAATTAAACTTAAGGGGAAGCCTCATAAGCATTTATTAGGAAAGTCATGTGTGTATTTCGATTTGAATCTTATGGAATGAGAAAGAAGCCAACAAAATGACCTTAAGAAATCCACATCTCCCACCCTCTCAACTGATCCCACCTTTATCTCTCTGGGTCACCATGAGGTGTTTTCTCCACTGATCCTCATGCTTAAGCTCCAACATCTTCTAAGTAACCTTGACCCTCTCGTTCCAGAATTCTTCCAGGGCACTGACAAATCAAAGGCCAGTGTCTTCTTTTTTTTCTTTTCTTTTTTTTTTTTTGAGACAGACTTTCACTCTTGTTGCCCAGGCTGGAGTGCAGTGGCACAATCTCGGCTCACTGCAACCTCTGCCTCCCGGGTTCAAACGATTCTCCTGCCTCAGCCTCCCAAGTAGCTGGGATTACAGGAACCCGCCACAATGCCTGGCTAATTTTTTGTATTTTTAGTAGAGATAGAGTTTCATCACGTTGGCCAAGCTGGTCTTGAACTCCTGATCTCAGGTGATTCACCCGCCTCAGCCTCCCAAAGTAGGCGAGTGTCTTAATTGTGTGATAAGTACATAGGGTAGTTGTCTTCTTTGTCCTCATAAACTGTCATGGATTTCTCCTGACCTGCATAATAAACCACACATCTGCAATCTCAACATAGCCATGAGACCAGGGAGTCAGGACTAAAAACTCAGGTACCACACACAGGTAGGGCTGGTTTGTTTCTTTTCACAGGGCTTTCTGTGCAGGACAGTCTTGAAATTTGCCCTCACGTGTGTTAGATCCCCCACAGCACCTCCTTTATCTCACTGAGGGGGTCTCTGAGGTGACCCCAGAACCCAGGTCAAGTGGAGGCAGCTCCTGGATCTAGGGTGGCCAAGAGACAGACCCAGGGGAGGGGAGCAGGGAGGGAGCCTGGGGTCAGCTCAGCAAAGCTCACCCGTGCAGTCACAGGTCATCCCCAGGTGGCTCCAAGGCTTTGTCACCGCTCAGTCCTCCTCATCTTGCCAGTGTCATGTTAAGAGACACTGTTCAGGACAAGTACATATATGTTCTGAGGGGATCTTCTGGGATAATCTATGATAAGAGGTAGAGGATGGGGAGGGCTGATCCCTATGTCTTACAAAGATCCTAAGAACTAGAGCTGCAAGTAGGCCAGCTCAGTGAGAGGGAGAAGAGATTCTGGAGCCAATCCTACAGGGGATGGTCTTCAATAACAGAAATATTCATATGAGCTACTAAATATACCCTAAGAAAACTTACAGTTTTGGAAATTCCTAAAGGCGCTTATGTCTTTTTTGTTTTTTTTTTGTAGTGATGGAATCTCACTCACTATGTGGAGGAGGATGGTCTCAAACTCCTGGCCTCAAGAAATCCTCATGCCTTAGCCTCCCAAAGTATTAGGTATTATAGGCAGGAGTCACCACACCTGGCACCTAAGAATGTATGGTTTTGGAAATTCCTCCCATCTCTGTCTGCAGAAATAAAGTTATAAATTTGGCCATGGCTTGAGATTTTAAGTCTGTTTCTGAGCATTCTGGAGGTTTTGAATGGCAATTTAGGAGAGTGGGGTCATGGAATATTACCTGAGATCATTTTAAACAGAGACTCCCAGGAATAATTTCATAATAATAAAAGTAGGCTCTTCCCAAATATTAATGCTAACAAAAGTCTCATGTACATCTTGTTAAATACATATTATTAGGCACCAACACAAGTTTCTGATTCAGTAGGTCTAGATTGGCAAATTGCATTTTTAACAAGGCACTCAGCAAGGCCCTTACTTCAGTGATAAATAAAATACAAATTGGTCTCCATGGACAAATTAATGAATGAGCATATGTCTGTTGACTCTCTCTGAATAAGAAGAGTCTTTCTGGAGCACGGGCGTCTCTGTGACTCACTGTGAGTTTATGTATTCACGGAAGCATCACACTGGGGAGATGGACACACCCTGGGAGAGACTGGATAAGGCACCTGGCAGTGAACCCTTGCACAGGACACTGGGGCAAGGAGGCTCCCTGCTCATGGTGTTGACGTTCCCACCTTCTCACCTTCTCTCCTGCCTCTAAGGGCTGAATCGTTCTGAGTATGTAAAGTGGTTTTAGTTGTACCTCCTTATGGGTTTAAATCACTGTGGAATTGCCACTACCCATGTATGGCACATAGTAATGATCAGAGTCATCATCTACTGAGTTCCCGTGACGGTGAGGGCAGCTTTGTTCCCAAGGATGGAGCCAGAGAAGCGCCCAGGGACCCCAGAAGGGCAGGTGTTTGGGCTGCAGATGAGTATATGTGGAACCTGGCCTGGGGTCTGCTGGTACCAGCTGGGGTAGTGACTGGTAGAGACTGAGCCAGAGCTCAGGGCACAGGTGAGTGTGACCGTCCCTCCAGGAGGCCCTAAGAGTGATGGCTCCTGGGTCACCACAGACTAAGAATCCACCCCTAAAACCAACAAGAGACACAGAGTTATGGTCATGGGGATAAGGGTAAGCTGGACCCTGCTTTTTTCGGTCCTTCCAGGGATGCAGAGAGTCCCTTCCCCTGACCTGGGGAGCATTTTCTTCCCTCTGCAATGAAATGATTGCTGCTTTCTTTGGGAGTGAGTAGCAGGGCCTCCTTCCTCCAGCAGAGGGCCCACTGGGAATCCACAGAGCTCTGTCTGGGGTGGGCTCTCTAACCACGTCCCAAGGCAGGGTCTGACTCAGTCCGGGGCATTGTCTTCAGGAACCTCAGTGTGGGGCCCAGGGCTGAGGGGACCTGTGCAGGGAGCAGCACTGCCAGGCTGGGGGCAGACTCTCTCACGCACTAAGAAGCCATCAGTGGTAAGGAGGACCTCCAACAGAACTGCAGATTTTGAAGAGAAAGAGAATAAATTTACCATTACATTATGGGATTTATCCCAACAACAAAAACAGCAAACTAGGAAAACACGCACCACATAACCGGAAATAGAAATGGCACTGTGTGTGAACAAGTTAGTGTGAATATCATGGAGCAGCTTAAAACACCTGATGTAGTGAATCCCTCAGCAGTTCCTCCATCAACGGAGTTTCCTTTCTTAAAATGAGTGTTGGAGAGAAGGGATAAATTGGTGGCACACAGGATTTTTATGGTAGAACTATTCTGTAGGACACATAATGGTGGATATGAGACACTAAGCGTTTCTCAGAACTCTTAGAGTGCATAATGCAAAGCTGAAGCCTAATGTAGGTTATAGATTTTAGTTAATAACTATTATTATTTGTCAATTATAATAATAATGATTATTTGTCAATTATATTTGTCAATTATAATAATTATTATTTGTGAATTATAACAAACATACCACACCAATGCAAGATGTTAAAATAAGAGAAACTGGGTGACCACAGTCTGAGAATGCTTAGAAACTTTGTGTGCTCTCTGCTGAATTTCTGTAAGCTTAAAACTTCTCTAAAAATAGACTATTAATTAAAAAGATTGAGTGTTCGCTTTTCCATCAATTATAAAAATTACCATGAAATCAAATGATCTTTTTTGACAATATTTGCAGAGTCAAATTCAGTTGAATTTTGCTTTGAAAGAGGGTTTTCTTTAAAAAACATAATAAATCCATTAATGTGCACACACACAGACACACACAGTCACACATACACATATACACACACAGAGACGACATGCACATATACACAGATACATGCACACACACACACACACACACACACAAGCCCAGGCACACAGGCACGTACACACACATATAGACAGACATGTACCATCACACATACACATGTGCACACATGTAGAGTCACACAAGCACACATACATAGATGCACACTCACACATATGTCCTCACATGATTCCAAAACAGAGCAATGTCCTGCATGTGTCCAGTCAGGCCTTCCTCCCACAGCACAACAGGGTCAGTGGAAAAGCCCCTTTGCTTCTTCCTCTCAGTCCACCAAAGCACTGTTGGGTGCAGAGGCCATGGCCATGCTTACAAGAACCCACAGGCCAGCCAGGCGCAGTGGCTCATGCCTGTAATCCCAGCACTTTGGGAGGCTGAGGCAGGCGGATCATCTGAGGTCAGGAGTTGGAAACCAGCCTGGCCAACATGGTGAAACCCCGTCTCTAATTTTAATAAAAAGAAAACAATTAGCCAGGCATGGTGGTGGGTGCCTGTAATCCCAGCTACTTGGGAGGCTGAGGCAGGAGAATCGCTTGAATTCAGGAGGAGGAGGTTGCAGTGAGCCAAGATTGCACCACTGCACTCTAGCCTGGGTGACAGAGTGATACTGTCTCAAAAAAAAAAAACCCCACAGGCCAACGCTGAACAGGCTCAGGCTCAGGAGGTGGTACTATGGAACCATCTGAAAGACACACAGGAATGTTGAGCTCACCTCTATTTTCACCACAGAAACAGGAGTCATGTGTGCACAACCTCCTAGATGGGCCAATGGTCCTCAACCTTGCGTGTCTCAAGATAATCTGTGGAGCTTCATAAATGTATAGATCCTTGGGTGAAACTTCTGATTCACAAGGTCAGGTACAGCACAGATTTCTGTAGTATAGAAAATAAAAGTTCTTCAGATGGTTCTGCTGTTGAGCCAAGATGTATAAATCACTGAAATAAGCCATTGGAAAACATGATTGATTTTAATCATGTTTTGGATAAGGATTTAGGAGATGCCCTGAGGTGCTCCCTCTTCCAGAACCTTATTCTTTTCTTTATAGGCATGTGCTATGCTTGGTAATTTCACATTAACTTGTTTTGTGTCTGTCTCCCTCACTAGAATGTCAGCTTCTTAAGGGCAAGCACTGTGGCTGCTGTATTCACCCCAATACTCCTGGTACCAGTATCTGGGAAAGCCTAGTGCTCAATAAATATTCAGTGAATGAATGACAAGGAGCTGACTTTATGTACTTTTCATTGTCTTGTATTTCAGATAGTGACTATATTTTGTTTTCTGTGAAATAGATACAAGCGTCCAAGTGTGGTGGGAAAATCTACAAACACTATCACACACAGAGACAAGTGCACACACACAGCAGTGACTGATGAAAGCTTAGGTGAGCTCTTAGTTCTCAAGGCTGTAGACTGAGGGAAAGGAGAGGAAGCAATTTGGGGGCGTGTGTGTGCAACCCTTTTCCTCACTGAGTTGCAGGTGAGGGCATCGTGAGGCCAGCACCTCTAGCCTGGAACACTGATCCAGGACCCCTCAGTGTCTGGGGCTCCAGGCCCCACCCTGTCTTCTCAGGACTCTAAGCACATCTACTTCCAGGTATTTTCAGCTGCCACACCCAAGAGGAATGGAATTTTCCCCCTCCCTTTCTGAGGCTGACTTTTAAAACATTGGACTTGTGGATTCTAAGGCTCTCCCTGAAATACCTTTTCTGACTGGATTTGAGAGGGTGGGGAGGGGAAGGGATCCTCCCCCACTAAATTTCACGGCTGCCCTCCTCATGCAATACAGGCCACGGCCTGGAGATGGGCAACAGTGATGGAGAGAAGCAGTGGCAGTCCAAAATGAATTTGTGAAGACATGCACATACATGCACACACATGCACACACACGCACACTTGCACATGCACACATACCCCACTGAAAGAGAAAGGAATGTGACCTGTGGGCTGGTCTCTGGACTGGGAGGTCCTGAGGCTGACCCTATGGGAATCAGTAAGGAGGTGCTGCTGCTGCTCAGGCTTCTGCCTGGAAGCACCTTCTGCAGGACTGATGCTCCCCAGAGACTGGGGAAGGATCAGTAACTACCTCCTCCCCTGACTGCCTGAGAACGCCCAAGGCTTGTTATAGAATCGAACTGGGGTCTGCTCGCCCAGTGCAGTAAAACCAGATACCTACACTGAGAGTTTTGCAGTGAATAGAAAGGAAGGCATTTATTGCAGAGCACCAAGCAAGGAGAATCTGGTGGACTCCTGCTTAAAACGTAAACTCCCTGATGGCTTGTAGATAAGGCTTTTTAAAACTAGGAGTACATTTCAGGAAAGCAGAAGCTACAGGCAAAACTACAAATCAATACACAGAAGTTACACATTGTTTTTGGCCCCAAAGGGTGGGATATCTTGAAGCAGGGGCTTACAGGTCATAGGTAGATTCAAAGATCTTCTAATTTGCAGTTGACTAAAATAGAGAAGCTTTGTTTAAACATTTGGGGTCAGTAGAAGAATGTTAACTGGTTGTGAGGAGTGCCTTTCTCTAAACCCCTCGGGAAGAAACTTAGAACCAAAAATGGTAGTTAAAGTTTAGTCTTCACTTCTCCTTTATCTGGGGAAATATGTCAATGGATCCTTTCTGTGGGGTCCTCAGTGGGAGTCCAAGCCTCTGAAAGACAACTTAGGGACATATGCTAAGAGATTATCATTGGTTTCTGTAGGGAAAACTAATATCTCTGGGACTCTAACTTCTTTAGCTATTGTTTTAGCCTACTGTTGCCTTCTTGTTTAACAAGTCACTTATTTACTTGTTGGAGATTGCGAAGTGCCTGGAATTGCCCTCAGAGGAACTCAGGATTTTCCTTTATTTCTGTGTTTGGGGTCTGCAGGCCCCTTAAAAAGGGGGTTCTTGCTTTCTCTCACATCCCTTACTCCAGGTTAACAAAGTCAAGAATCTGAGAAAAAGGCAATGAAAATAAAACTTCTGTGTGTCTCACTTGGGAAGAATCAACTGTGCAGCTCCAGAAGTCACAGCTGCTCTCAGGTGAGCTTCCTTCCTGAGCTCTCTCCCTGAGCTGCTCCAGGGCAGCTGTCCCCATCCTGAGGACTAGAATCCCACCCTGTGAGACATACCAGGCCACTTGCTAATTCCCTGGGAGGTCTTGCACTTCCCCTGCAGGCCTCATCTCTGGAAACTCTTCCCTCACCCCGCCCTCTCTCAAAGTGCCCTCTGCCCCAACCATGTGGCCAGTTGCTCCTCTTCTATACTGGATCCACTGAAGTCTCAATGAACTGCTCCTTTGCCCACACACCTCTGACTTCTGCTGTCACACTGAGCCCCCTCTAGTGCTCCCTGTGTGGCTGTGAATATTCCATCAGACTGAGTCGGTTGAAGTCCACTGTGGGATTCTGCCCCTTCTCCCTGAGCCTGGCTCAGCAATGGCTGCATGGCAGACACTATGTGTCCACCCATCAGTAAGGGGTCCTGATCCAGACACCAAGAGAGGGTTCTTGGATCTTGCACAAGAAAGAATTCAGGAAGAGTTCACAGAGTAACGTGAAAGCAAGTTTATTAAGAAAGTAAATGAAGGCCGGGCGTGGTGGCTCAAGCCTGTAATCCCAGCACTTTGGGAGGCCGAGACGGGCGGATCACGAGGTCAGGAGATCGAGACCATCCTGGCTAACACGGTGAAACCCCCTCTCTACTAAAAAAAAAATAAAAAAAACTAGCCGGGCGAGGTGGCGTGTGCCTGTAGTCCCAGCTACTCGGGAGGCTGAGGCAGGAGAATGGCGTAAACTCGGGAGGCGGAGCTTGTAGTGAGCTGAGATCCGGCCATTGCACTCCAGCCTGGGCGACAGAGCGAGACTCCGTCTCAAAAAAAAAAAAAAAAAAAAAAGAAAGTAAATGAATGAAAGAATGGCTACTTCATAGGCAGAGCAGGGCATTTCCAAAAGCAAGAGGAGGAACATGCCCACCTTAGGTGCAATGCCTGTTTATGTACAAGAGAACAAAGCAAAAAAATCATGGGGGAGATGTGCTCCACTACAAGGGCTCATGACAAAACAGTGTTCATCTTGTGTAACTACTGTCTTCTACAAGAATCTATATTTTTACTTTAAAGCAAAATATTCTTAAACTAAGAACTAAGAGGGCTCTTATTCTTAAGATACCGGGACATCAGGACATTTCCTGAGTCTGTTGAGTCCTGCATCTGTTTAGTAAGTATTATTAATCTGTTCCCTTAACTACAAACATCTTGTGACTAAGAATGCCTAACCCCTTGAGAATGCACCCCAGCAGGTCTCAGTCTCATTTTACCCACCCCCTATTCAAGATAGAGTCACTCTGGTTCCAACATCTCTGACAAATCAACGCCCAATCCTCAGCTGTTTCCTCACCAGTTCCCAGAGCTCAAGGAGAAGCACAGGGGATTAATCCCCTCACACCATTAGGTCTTCCCTCCACACAACCTTCCTATAGTCCAGAACAAATTAGTTTATTAAAGGACTCAGAGATCCACATCCTAGGTGGTTCCATTTACAGCCTGATAACTATAAAGTAAAACTTTAAGCCTTCCAATTGACTGATGGACCCTCCTCTTGGCCAAGGGCATTCCAAAGTTAACCAGAAAAATGAGTTCAGGCCATGATGGGAAGCTGGAGTCGAACATGGCTTATTACGCCTTCCCCCCTTTTGGAATTCAGGCACAGCTGACCAGCATGAACACTAACACAGAGACCTTAAGACTGATAGAACAGACTCTTTAAGTCTGATGAGAAACATTTACAATCCATTCTGTCTGAAATCAGTTACCTGCAGGCTTCATCTGCATAAAAGCTTGGTCTCCAAAACTCTTAACCTAGACATTCCTTTATTTTGATTCCAGGTCTTTAAATAATGACTTAACCAATGGCCAGTCAGAAAATCCTCAAATTCACCTATGACCTGGAAGTCACTCCCCACCTTTCCCGTTGTCCCACCTTTCCAGATAGAACCAATGTACACCTTATATGTACTTATTGATGTCTCATGTTTCCCTAAAGTGTATAAAACCACACTGTAGGCTGGGCGCAGTGGCTCACACCTGTAATCTCAGCACTTTGGGAGGCCAAGGCAGGTGGATCACCTGAGGTCAGGAGTTCGAGATCAGCCTGGCCAACGCAGTGAAACCCCGTCTCTACTAAAAATACAAAACTTAGCTGGGCATGGTGGGTGCCTGTAATCCCAGCTACTCAGGAGGCTGAGATAGGAGAATTGCATTAACCCAGGAGGCAGAGGTTGCAGTGAGCTGAGATGACGCCATTGTACTCTAGCCTGGGTGACGAGAGTGAAACTCCGTCTCAAAAAGTAAAATAAAATAAAATAAGATAAAATAAAATAAAATACCACACTGTGTCCTAACTACCTTGGGCTCTTGTTCTCAGGATCTCCTGGGGCTGTGTCACAGGTCATTGGTCACCCATCTTTGGCTCAGAATGAACTCTTTAAGTACTTTACAGGGCTTGACTCTTTTCATGGACAGGACTAAACTCTTTTTTTTCTTGCCCAAATTCCTATCTAACGGACCTACAAACTATAACATCTAGTTAGGCAGATTTGTATTAATCTGGTACAATGTGACTTACTTTCCAACCTGACTCTGGTATAGCATCACATGACAGATAGCAGACCCTGAAGGAAATAAAAATATATAACCCCAAAATATACTTTTCTATATTTTGAAATGGCCCTGCAAACTGTTTTTGTGGGAAATTTGCGTCTTTCGAGAATCTCCATTCATGCAGCCAGGCCTTCCCTTTCTAGGCCTTTCCTGGATCTAGGAGAGAACCCAACATATTTTAAGGTCTGAAAGGAGACAGTCACCATTTATCCTCTCTCAGGGATGCCACCTATGAGGCTTCATCTGCATAACAAGAACCTTGGCTCCATAACCTGCTAATCTTAACTCAGGTATTCCTTTCTAGTAACTTCAAGTCTTTAGATAATAGCTTAATTCTCTCAACCAACTGTCCACTAAAGTATCCTCAAAACCCACCTATGACTCGAAAGCACTGCCCCTCTCCACCAGTAGGAGATATTCTGCCTTTTTTAAATGAACCAATGCATACCTTCCATGTATTTATTTATGACTCCACATGCAATTCCTGTCTCCCTGAAATGTATAAAGCAAACTGTAACCTCACCACCATAGGCATGCTTTCTCAGGACCTGGTGAGACTGTGTAACCCCAGGGTGCAGTCACTCATATTGGCTCAGAATTAACCTCTTTAAATGTATTTTGACATTAACCTCTTTAAATGTATTTTACTTTTTTCCTTGAGCTCAGCCACACAGAGGCATATATATCTCTTGCTACCTGATCTAGTGATTTTGGCAAGTTTTCCTCTTTGTAGCTCCTCTGTGACAGTATGAAGGCCTGTCCTGAAGAAGCCTCAGATTTATCTGTGCTTGCAAGTATCTCTATGAGTCAGGTGAATTTCTCTCCTCTTGAGGTCCCAAGATAACTGGAGGCGCCTGGGCCTGTCAGAAAGTGACATTCTTTGTTCACCACAGATCAGGAACACTGTACAGGTACTGCATAGATAAGGTATGTGGCTAGTTTTCTAAAGGGCTTTTATTGGCCTTATATGTCAACTTTGATTCCATAAAGCAGTCTGTTTATAGTCAAAAGCATGCCATTCCAGTCAAAGCCTTGGTAAAATAACTACTGTGCTATTACAAAAGAAAATAGATTTATATTGCACTTATGCAAATAACTATATTGCTATAATTTAAGAGTACTCACAAATTGTTTTCAAATTCTAGATAAATCAGGTAGACACAAAGAAATATGCTCCAAATTTTGCTCACAGGACTATAATTTATTCAATTGTTAAAAGCTGTAAATAGCTCCAAAGAAAAAGAAGTTTTCTTGACTCTAAAAACAACAGAAGGAATCAGAAACATTCAAAGCAGAAAACGTGACAAAAGATTACATGTTTTTACTGGTTTAGTCTATGCTATTAACTCTTCATAGCACGGATATTGAGCCAGCAGTCCTTATGAATATATTAGCTTTCTACAACAGCCCTAGAAGTTTTTTCTTCTGTTTCAATGGCACCATTTTTAAATTTAATTTTATTTTTTCTTTATTTTTCTTTTTTATTGGAAACAGGGTCTCACTCATGTTGCCCAGGCTTAAGTGCAATGCCACGATCTCATCTCACTGCAACTTCTGCATTCCAGGCTCAAACGGTCCTCCCACCTCAGCCTCATGACTAGCTAGGACTACGGGCATGTGCCACCACATCTGGCTAATTTTTGTATTTTTTGTAGAGACAGGGTTTCACCATGTTGCCAAGGCTGATTTGGAATTCCTAAGCTGAAGCTATCTGCCTGCCTTGGCCTCTCAAAGTGCTGAGAATACAGGCATCAGCCACCACGCCTGGCTCAATGGCATAATTTTAAAGCTATCAGATATCTGCATTTAACAATACCCATCAGGGTCCTGTAGCTGATTCTAAACCACCTTTTGAAAAGGATTACAACAAGACAATGACTTCCTGTGGAAAACAAGTCTCAGGACAGCCACAGTTAAAGACTCAATTGACAAGGGAGTTTGGTGATTTTTGTGCTACACAACAATTTAACTTAAGAATTATAATTATTACTGCTAGTATATACTGAGACATATCAGAATTATAGAAATTTTATGTAATTTTGTAAGATACTAAAACATACTTATATGAACATAACTCAAAGAAAGTTAAATACCATTTTATATTTGACAATGCTTCATGCATAATTTTAATATATGAAATAAGCTGAATATGTCTTTTTTTGGAAATTGGAGAACCTAATATCAAAAGGGATTAATCAGGTCAAAAAAACATAATTTAGAATTTGATTTTGAAAACTTTGGCAAATATCAGTTGTTTAAAACATTTGATATTATAAAATAAAATCCTAGGTCACTATAAGTCATTTATCTAGCCAAAATGATAATGCAAAGATTTCAAAAAAGTAAAAACCTTTACTTAATGATAGAGGGAAGACTCAGTTTTCCAATCCACAAAACACAATAAAGATAGCACAAGCCTATCCGAATCTGTCCTGTTTCACTCCATTTTTGTTTTAGTTCATTTAAAAGGCAAAATAATTTTTATTGTCTCCCAATATTTTTTTTTTTGAGATGGAGTCTCACTCTGTTACCCAGGCTGGAGTGGAGTGGCATGATCTTGGCTCACTGCAACTTCCACCACCCGGGTTCAAGCAATTCTCCTGCCTCAGCCTCCTGAGTAGCTAAGATTAAAGATGCCCACCACCATGCCCAGCTGATTCTTTTGTATATTTAGTACAGACAGGGTCTCACCATGTTGACCAGGCTGGTCTTGACCTCCTGACCTCAGGTGATCCCCCTGCCTCGGCCTCCCAAAGTGCTGGGATTATAGGCGTGAGCCACCACACCTGGCTGTCTCTCAATATTATACAGTAATCTTGTTCAAAAGAGAAAACCAAATTCCACCTCATTAATGCTAAAACTAATTTTAAATAAAATCTTATAAACAAACTTGTTTGATTTTAATTGGTTTGATGATATAAGATTTCCATAAACTTTTTATAACTCATTATAATTTTATGTTAAAAAGCAGATTAATGTGCAAAAAAAAAAAAAAAGAAAGAAACAAAAAAACGCTGTTATTCTGACATATGGGCTCAGATTCTGGCCTTGAATCAGTGTGCTTTTATTTTAATATCCAATTTATGAAAAAACTATATAATACTCTTATTTTTAGTCAACTTGCTGACACACAGAATTCTTTACAAGGTTAATTTTTCACAAACCTTCTACAACTTGCTTAAACCTTCAGTTCTTCCTATTTGTTTAACTTAAAACAATTATTAAACCATCTAAATTAGACAAAATTCCTTTATTTTATTTTATTTTTTTGAGATGGAGTATCGCTCTGTCACCAGGCTAGAGTGCAGTGGCCGATCTTGGGTCACTTCAATCTCCGCCTCCTGGATTCAAGTGATTCTCCTGCCTCAGCCTCCCAAGTAGCTGGGATTATAGGCTCGTACCACCACACCCAGCTAATTTTTGTATTTTTAATAGAGATGGGGTTTCACCATGTTGGCCAGGATGGTCTCGATCTCCTGATCTCATGATCCACCTGCCTCAGCCTCCCGAAGTGCTGGGATTACAGGCATGAGCCACCATGCTGGATCTACTTTATTTTTAAAACCACATCCTGATGCCTTTTTACCAAGAACATATAATTTTTATTTTTTTAGTGTGAGCAATTGTAATTATATACCAAGTGAAAAGCCTAGGATAAAGCAAAGAACTGCAGATAGCCTGATGTTTTCCAGCATAGCCACGGGGCATGGCTAATTCCACACATCCCTAGGCCTTGTCTAGAATCTAATGGCTCTAAAGCAGGCCAGTGGAACAACTATCAGAAGTTATATAAGGCTAGGTGTGGTGGCTTACACCTGTAATCTCAGCACTTTGGGAGGCTGAGGTGGGTGGATAACCTGCGATCAGGAGTTCAAGATCAGCCTGGCCAACACGATGAAACCCTCTCTCTACTAACAATACAACAATTAACCGGGTGTGGTGGTGGGTGCCTGTAATTCCAGCTACTAGGGAGGCTGAGGCAGAGGAATTACTTGAGCCCAGCCGGCAGAGGTTGCAGTGCACAGAGATCATACCATTGTACTCCAGCCTGGGCGACAAGAGCAAAACTTCATCTCAAAAAAAAAAGTCCTAAAAGCAGTTTCTGACCTTAAAGCATTTAGCAAACCTAATATGTGATCTGCCTAATTTTGACCAAATATCCAAATTTTGAAGAATGTTTTACCAGCAATTTTAAAATGTCTTTTCTTTAAAAAAGCTCATGAGTCATGTGAACTAAAAGGCATTTAAAAAATTTTTCTGGCAAAATAGTTAAGTGCTTTTTAAAAGCCAATTAATTATACCTCTTTTATATATTTTGATAGTGAAACACACACAACACATATAGACAGATGGATATAGATCTGGTAGGGTGATAAGGCTTTCTATTTGCCTGTTTTTAAGTTTTCCTTTTTAATTTTAAACAAACAGTCTCTTGATTATGTGTTCCCTTGCCCTAAACAATTGTCACCCAGGCAGTTCCAAATTTACATTTTTAAAGGAATAATTTTTGGTGAAAAAATGGTGTCAGTGAAAGTTTAGTCAAGATGGGCAGGAAAAGCAGACATACTTACATGTGGAGATTTTTTTAAAGATGTAAATTTCTTGGCCAGGCACAGTGGCTCACGCCTGTAGTCCCAGCACTTTTGGAGGCCAAGGTGGGCAGATCATGAAGTCAGGAGATCAAGACCATCCTGGCTAACACGGTGAAATCCCGTCTCTACTAAAAAAAAAAATACAAAAAATTAGCCGGGTGTGGTGGCAGGCACCTGTAGTCCCAGCTACTCAGGAGGCTGAGGCAGGACAATGGTGTGAACCCAGGAGGTGGAGCTTGCAGTGAGCCAAGATCGCGCCACTGCACTCCAGCCTGGGTGACAGAGCGAGACTCCGTCTCAAAAAAAAAGATGTAAATTTCTTAATTGGTTATTGACTTTAGGGTAAAGCATTTTCAGGAACAAAGCCAAGAAAACATGCAGTTTTAAGGGCCTAATAGGTGGGCACAGCTGGAAGGCAAAACAGATCTCCACAGGTAAAAAAATCCCATTTTTAGACCTTATCCTGGGTCCTCCCAAAAAAGGAAACACCATGGATGAGACAGTGCAATGCTTTCACTGTGCATTTTTTTGCAAAGGCATTTCCCCAAGGCTGGTGGGCAACTCAAAACCAATTAGTCCAGTCAATAATTAGCCCACCTCCCATGGGAGTCTCACCTCTCAGTGGGATTGGGAATGCTTCTGTATCTTCCAAGTGGCCAAAAGCATGCTTTTCTTATACAAACATGCAAAGAGCAGAGTATTTCACCCTCATAACTGCTGCTAGCCATCCCCAAAGGTATATTTTCCAGCTCTCAATTATATACTAAGTCTAAAAGTTTTTTCATAAGCAATTTGTGATGCCCCCAAAAGTCAAAAGGTCATGTAACACAATGCAAAATAGATCAAAGACTTAGATTTTGAGAAGGACCTACCTGCTTACAATTTCTGGGTTTCCATGAGGAAAACAGAAGTTTTTCTCCAAGTAGGCTCTGTGGTGCCGCCTCTATTTTTCTCAAAGAGTCCCAGACTCTCAGAAATTTCTTTTTTTTTTTCTTTTTTTTTTTTTGAGATGGAGTCTCACTCTGTCACCCAGGCTGGAGTGCAGTGGCATGATCTCGACTCACTGCAAGCTCCACCTCCCAGGTTCACGCCATTCTCCCACCTCAGCCTCCCAAGTAGCTGGGACTATAGGCACCCACCACCACGCCCGGCTAATTTTTTGTATTTTTAGTAGAGATGGGTTTCACCATGTTAGCCAGGATGGTCTCTATATTCTGACCTTGTGATCCACCCACCTCAGCCTCCCAAAGTGCTAGGATTACAGGTGTAAGCCACCATGCCCAGCCCAACTCTCAGAAATTACATAAGGTCCTTTCATACAGACATTAGGGTGGCAAGAAGAGAGATTGGAGAAATAATATAGTCAACTTAGAAGAAAAACCAAAAGAAATCCACTTGTTCTCCAAAAAACCCAAAATCCAAAAATAGAAAAAGCATATAGCCTTTTAAATATATATAGCTTGGATCTTCATTTTTAATTAAGCTGATTTTTAACCATAGAGCTCTTTTTTAAAAACATTATGTTAAATCTCTTAATACCAGACTCTATCCAGGACAAAGAGCTGAAACCTCTGGCTTTTGAACCTTTTTCTTCCTGCAACGGTATTTCCCCAGGTGAAACCAATAAGCCCTAACTATGGTTACAACTTAACCATGGACACATGAGTTGCCTACAAAGCGCTGGTGAGTGATTTTTACAGTATCTAGAATCACTCCTAAGGCAGCTCAAAGAAAATTGAAGTCAGGAAACCAGACTTGGTTAATTAGGCTAATTGGCTTTGGGTTACCCACCATCCTTGGGGGGATGCCCTTGCAGTAAGTTGGCCATGGGAGGAAAAAGAATAAATAAATGGCAAAAGTCCCACAAGTATCAAACCAGAAATAACTCATTCCCTAAGCCAGGAATTGAACCCCAGCCACCACCATGGAAGATCAAAGTCTTAGATACTCAGTTACAGCATGAGGTGAGCGCCATATTTGTTTTCCCAGTAGAAATCTAGAGTAGTCATTTTTGAGCTTGCAAAAGATGTAACCTTTCAAGGGAAAAGGAACAGATATAAATATGAGAAGCCTTAAAAGGAAACAGATTTTATAATTAAGTCAATATTTCTTGCAATTTTACTGAAAGCAAACCAATACTTACAAGAAACAACTCTTTAAATATAGGGAACCAAAATTTAGATAAATATATTTTCTTTCAGTTGTGGCTAATTTAATTATAAAATTGTTGATAAATTCCCTTTTATGAACCTTATCGTAACTTACACAGACCATCTATGACAAGCTTGGACTTTGTGATTTGTCCTATATTTCCCTCTTTCCTAAATAATCAATCATTCTACTTTGGGACAAGAACATGCCATGTAAGACTCTTTCTCATATAAAATTTCTTTTCTTTATTGCCTTCCTTACCAAAAATACATCTTCATATTCATAACTCTCTTCACATCTCTCTCCCCTACTTACTGTTTTTTTTCTTTTTTTCTACTTTCTTTCTATTATCTTCCTAAATCCACATTAAAAACCCCCACTTTAAATAACGTTTGAATTGGTCTAATTTTTTTTTTAATAAGAGGATATCTTCTTTGGCACATTTTATACACAGAATTACATATGAATTTTCAGTAACCCTACATTTTATTGAACTTAAGTCACATTAACTTGAAAAATACTTAGACTTATTTATTGAACTTATGATTGTTCTTTTGTTTACAAGCCAATTGGGTACTCCATACACACAATATATAACATAAGAAATGTACATACACATAAACACATCTAGGCATGTATACACACACATAAACAAAGATGTGCCGTTGTCTAACAAGGATCTCTACTAAACACAAAAGTTTTTCTCAGTGTAGCAAGAGCCCAGTTATTTTCCCCTGCAAATTCTCATCTCCTCTACCAAAGTGTTAACATGACATTAAGCAAAGAAAACACTTTAGAGAAAATGATAACTTTAGGGTAGAATACAAAATGCAAGACCAAGATTCCCCTAGGAAAGGACTCTAATCCACAATCCTAGAAGGAATGCCAATGCCCAACACCCCAGAGCATCCGGGGGTGGCTAACAGTACCAAATGCTAAAAAAAAAAACTGAGTACCCAGGTATCAGCCAATAAGGGTGCCCATCCAAAATGTTGAAAAACCCCAGAGCATCCAGAGGGTGGTTATCAGTGAACCTCAACACCTTTGCCTTCTCCCTTTCAGAACCTGAGATGGCCTACATGACCAGCAGCAAGGCAGTTTAATGATATTTAAGTCCATTTCCAGACAGGCTGCAAAACTTAACACATCTCTAAAAAACAAAGTGGGAAAATAATTGTTTTATAGTCTCATTAGTCTTCCTGTATCATAAAAAAGCTCACTTCACACAGAAGGATTTTTCTTGAATGATGAATAGTTCAAATATATCCCTTTATGGAGAAAACAACTTTAATGGTTACAGTCTATCGAGATCATTAATAATCAGTATTGTTGATTAATGAACTGAGGGTACACAGGAAAGACAAATAGAATGAGATGTGGTTAGGTTAAGCAAACTACACAAATGTTTAGGGTCAGAGTTAAAAAAAAAGGGGGGGGCTGCAGAAAGGCTGGGATGTGGGGAACACAGGAGACCAAACACATTTGGGACCACAGAATAAAGTGACCCTGGCATCCCAGGGTCAGCACAATGGGGGATCTCTCAAAATAACAAAAGAAAAAAATTCAAACAATCAAGGAAAGTGCCCTGCCTCACATAGAGTAGAGACAACTGCCCAAATGGCAAAACCAGAGACTACAAATGTAACAATGGAATAAACATGCACATGCATTTCAGCACTAAAAGCAGAAAAGTAAAACAGCCAATCTTTACAGAAGGAGGGGACAAGAGAAGAGGCAACCAGGTGGGTTACAAAAGACATGGCCAGCCAGGCAGGCTCCTGTCCAGGGCACCAGACAATGGGAGACTGCAGTCAGGCTGCCACAACAGAGGTCTCATGGCCACTTCTCCAACTTTAAATAAACAGCATATGAAAGAACAGAGCAGCCAAAATTGAGGGAGAAAAAAGGTAGGGAATTGAATCTGGACAGAGGAGACCCACCCACCTTTCAGGTCCAAATGGTGCTGATCAGTCTTAATTTGTGGTCCAGAGAGAGGTCTCCATCATCCCTTAATTATCACTGGAAAAGATATCACAGGGTGAATCCCAAATTTGAGGTGCAGCCTCAGAGGTCACATGGGTTCTTGGCTTCACACAGGAAGGAATTCAAAAGTGAGCTGACGGAGTAAAATGAAAGCAGGCTTTATTAAGAAAGTAAAGGAATAACAGGGTGGCTACTCCATAGGCAGAGCAGCCTCAAGGGCTGATAGTCGGCTATTTTTATGGTTATTTCTTGATCATATGGTAAATAAGGGGTGGATTATTCATTAATTTTCCTGGAATTCCTAAGAAATTCCAAGGGTGGGGAATTCCCAGAACTGAGAGTTCCTCCTACTTCCAGACCATATGGGGTAGCTTCTGGGCATTGCTACGGCATTTGTAAACTGTCATGGTGCTAGTGGGAGTGTCTCTTAGCAGGCTAATGTATCATAATTAGTATATAATGAGCAGTGAGGACAGCCAGAGGTCACTTCCATTGCCATCTTGGTTTTGGCAGATTTTGGCCAGTTTCTTTACCTGTTTTATCAGCGAGGTCTTTGTGACCTGTATCTGGTGAAACCAGTCCTGCTGAACTCCTGTTTTACTGTGAGTTCTAAGATGTCAGGGTGTCAGCTCAAAGCCCCAGGCCAGGGTCTTCATGAGGCTAGGGGTGGACGACCCTAAGTAGGTCCGAGCTGAGACCTGTTCCACCCTCTACTTTTCCAAAATTTGCAAGCCTTGAAATAATGCCTAGTATCCTGGTCCATTTGGAAATAAATAAATAAATAAATAAATAAATAAATAAATAAACAAAAGTAAAAACAAAAAGCAAAAGCTGCAAAGGAAAGTCAGAACCCCAAGCTGAGCCATTTTCTGATTCT